AAAAAACGACTTCAACTACGAAATACCAAACATCACAAACAAACCTTCTTTTGCGAAAAAAACAATTTTATTTTCAACAAACCAAGATGTACAAAACAATCCCCTCCACATTATGATTCATTATTAAAATATAGTCCAATCCCAGGACACTTGTAAGTATGAAATTATTAAAAAMACCTATTATTCTATTTACACGATTTGCATCAAGAAATATTTACATGATTTGAAAAAATTAAAAAATTWATATCATTACAAATCTGACAACGTTTGGATAATCGCATTATTTGATAACGTTCCTAAAGCATWGTTCATGCGAGTGARCCGCAAGCATTAACACAATGCAAGAAATTCCGTTTTCTTGCGYCGCTTKTGCTTGCCTCGCCCCGACAAGTGAGATTAATGAGAAATATTACAACTCGCCACATAWGGTGATACAGTTTAAAAAAGACGCAATATTCCACGACTGTCACGCACCTTTGAGAGAATTGTCGTATGGCCGAATTATTAAATACAATACTTTCTTTTTCCTAAAAATTGAGATGTAATTATGAGRCTCCGCCACACTAACGCTTTTCTGTATTGCATGCAGATGTACGAAATTTGACACACGAAATTTACTGAAACGGCAGGCATTGAAAAGTACCCGATACACTGTCCTCATAGAAGGAGACTTTGGTAAGGCAATTGTGCTTGTAAATGACTAAAATATCGTTGTATTCAATGGACGCGATTATGACGGAAGGTATCCGCAAGGCAGTTACACTGGATATGTACAAATAACTACAGTGAAATGAATTGTGAAAAAAATTCATAATGCACCCTAAGGATGTGACTATTCCATTCAATGTAGTTTCAGGCCCTTGGTATATCTACATACTACACTGTACATAGCACCTCCAAGTCGATTCGCTAACCATTCGTTCTTTATGACAGCAAGTTTTAGTGAATCACAAGTAAACTGTGCATTTAAGTTGGTATGGATGCACCTAAACGAAGGGAAGAGTATGTATGACCAATATAATACAGCAAAACAACACTGAGAATATTACAACCACTCCACTACGTCATCTCGTTCCAGTACTCACATTATATTAGTAATAATCTGATTGCTTCTTAATAATTATAAAATAAGCGCTACAAAATGGACGCCAAAACAAAACTATAATTATATCAGTGTCTACCTTCCCATCCCCTCCAAGACGATGAGATCGACGTCTTTACTTTGAGTCGCAAGATCAACATCTATTCTCCTGAAAACAGGAAATGAGAACTCAAATAAAAATGTAAACGTTGAAAAAAATTAAAAGATTAGAATAAGTTTAATTTACTTGAGATCAAGGCAMGGTGACGTAGATCCCGTCTCCATGGCTACAAGTTGTCCACGGTCTCTCGCTGATCTGAAGTAAAGAACACCAATACAAATCAGTTAGTTTACTCTTCATGCATTTGATAAGACGCACAGTAACCTCCATTGTAGTTATTTTATTCCCGCCTTTTCGCGAGGAAACACGTCACTTGTCAAAAGTTGTAATGCAATTGTATACCTGATAACTGGACATGAGCCTGCTATCTCCTGTATTAGAAAGGTTAGCTCACTATACATGACGTCATTCAAAGCTGGGTCTGAATTGGCTGCTAGAATAACCTGAACAGAAACAGCACACAGTCATGTTGATAATAGAAGCAAGTCCATGGTGACAAACCAGCGCATCTCTTTCAACATAAAATAATCAACGTATATCAATTTTTTCTTCACCGTTATTAATATCATAATAATCAACAATCATTATCAAAATCGTTCCATGATTTAGTCTTTAGAGTGGTTTGGTTGTTACCTTAGTTCCTCGTGAAAGCAATTCTCTGACAAARGGAAAGATTCCCAAGATAATATCAACACCACTGTTATCAACAAATATCAATGCCTGCTTGTAGACTCTCTCCTAAAAACAGCATGACAAGACCACTAAGCAAAGCAAAAACAACTAACCAAAACAAACAATGAACGGTTGGAAATAGATTTAACTTACATTAATATTGTTTATCCATTGATCGAGATCGTCTATCAACCATGGCCGCTCTGCAATCAAAGATAAAGCCATCAGTATTTCAAAGTGACATTGACTCGCGTTGTTGTTTTATGCTTTACCTTGAAGCTTGTTCATTGCTGCTTGGAAACCAAGTGAACTTTTCTCCATAAGCCTGTAAAGTAAAACGACTTTTTATTAAAAAAGAAACAATC